AGACTTCTTGCATGAGGAGTGTTTTGGATTGTTTTGGAGAGTTGTTGAGGGTTCTTGTTGAATTCTTGTTGAGTTCTTGTTGAGGGTTCTCCGTAACTTCTGTACAGAGTGTTTTGATACTGTTTGGGTACAGGTACCAGTGACGTTTGTTTGTTGGGTGACTTTTGTTTGTGGGTTTGTTCTCGAGGACCCTCATTGATGTGCCATTTATCACGCAGCTTAATCTGCTCACAAACATCTAGCACACGTTGAGATCTGAAGACGCCCAGGTTGGGTTTTTCTGTATTCTTGCAATGGCTACTACGGAGCGTGATCTGAAGAGGCCCAAGAAGACCGATGCGACTTGGCTTTTCAAGAAAAGAAGTCAAAGAAGTAAGAAGTAAGATCAGCCAAAAAAACATAGAAAAACCCAATCTGTTGAGGACGACAACAAGGACGACAAGGACAACAATGACGACAACCAGGATGAGACCAAAAAAAGAGGTGAAAAACGCAAGCGTGAAGATTCACCAGTTGTCCGTGAGATTGACTTTGACAGGCTTGTCGTCACCAATCTTGCTGGCCGATGCTACCATGAACACACATGCTCGTGTGTGCAGCCCCCCAACCCACATATGATGGTGGGTGTCCAACTATGCACCCATTGCAACAAGCATGCCCGAAAAGTTGCATACTTTGCTGAGGTCTTAGACCACATTTGTATCCTCCACTTACTAGACAGGTGCCAAGACCGCGGCCCCTTCACTCGGGAAGTTCGTCCATGCAGCCTGTGCTTGCCATGGGACGGTAGCGCTTGATGACGGTGGCGGCGCGCGCTGCTGAAAAAGTTTGCGTGTTACTCTCAACAACTCTCAACTACTCTCAACAAGTCTTTCAACTACTACTCTCAACAAGTCTTTCACCTACTCCCTCAACCTACTCTCTCAACCACCATCCCGTCACACACTTTGGAATACGAAAAATACAGATCATCGTCTTAACCAATGTTCGATTGACAATATGTTTACCATTTCCTACATTCAAGAAACATACAACACCATTTTCAACAAGGATTGTTGAGGTGTGCTTGAGGGATTGTTGAGGGATTGAGGGTTGATGAAAAGGCTCACTGCTGCCAATTCTTGGGAGATAACTTCTTTCCTTTGCATCGAGTTGCCTTTTTGGTAGATCAAACACAGATAGTAGATCGAAGGAGCTCTTGAGTGAACCACTGCCAGCATCAAAAGTATGTTTGGCCATGATGATACTTTGGAGTGCTTCATGGTTTCCAACGCGAAACTGAGCCATGATGAGATTGAGTGTTCTAAGGAACTTGGTCGCTGGGTTTTGTGTGAGCTGCATTTTAGAAAGTGTGGTATCGCCCCTTCCCACACCTTGTCATGGCAGGCCTTCACACTGGCATGCGCCCGAGCTTCCTTGGCCACCCTGGTTGGAAAACAACCTTCAGAGCTTGCTGGCGACATCACAGTCGACAGCATTGCGCCGAATCATGGGAAAGGGCGCTTTGATATTCTGGACTTGAGGGGCACAACA